TAGATTATTTTACAAATTTCCAGAGTGAAATATAACTAAGATAACCAATTTTAATTTATTTTATTAATAAAATACTTTTTTCAAGACTAACATCAATCTCGTAATTCACGAAGATTTAATAAAAGACTTTACTATAAACACCAAAAACATTTGCGCTTATATCAGAATCAAATTTGAGGATAAAAGAGCACAATATCTTGCAGATGGATTCAAAACCAATAATGTAAATTACTCTTTTAACTGATAGATACAGTATCAATATTTACTATATTAAAAATTATGCAAGACTATAAATAATAGATAATCGAACACATAGCTAACAGAGAAAGATTTTTGTGGTAAAATTTTTGAGATTTTATAAATTTGAATGAAATTCTAATAAGTAAATTTCATCTATTTTATATTCATTGTGTTTATGAAGATTTAAAAAGCTTCGTAAGTAGTTATAAAATACTATTCATATCATTAAGAATGATTTTTGTTTAAAGAAATATAATTTCAGTTCTTTTAATCTTATCATAATACATAAATTATTCATATTGTCAATATGTTTTGAATATAAAGGATGAAATGCCTTATACTTCTCTTGAATCTTTCTTATTAATAATAAATTAATTCGTTTTTTATGTTTATAATAATAAAATGTCTCATTTATGAAAAAATCTTTAGTAAATTGATGATACTTCTATTCTAGTCTAATAGTAAATGATATTCATCCATATTAAAACTAATGTTATCAAGCTTGAAATAAATTTTCTGCTTTGTTCGATTTATTCTAATCAATAAGAACATTAATCATATAAAATATGTTTAGTTAATTACGTAGTTATTCACTAATTAGAATAGTTAGAAATGGAAGTAAATTTTGAATTATAACAGTAGCAATAATAGATCTCGATGTTGTTTTAGAAGGAATACTTTTCTCTATATATACGTAATTAAATCAGATTATATACACTTCTAAGATATATTAGTATTAAACTATATGGGTGAGTTTATGTATTAATTATTGATGATTATTCTATTAGAAAAGTCTTTTTCTTTTTGAGAAGATTAATCACAATTATAGAACTAAGTACTTGTCTTATATAGTGTCTAAAGTTGTTACTTATCTTACAATGCATATTAAACCTTCTCATATAGGGAATTAACTCTAATTTATCATATAGATTAAGACTCTAAATTGTATTAGAATTCAATCGTTAAAATCATTTTAACTTTTAAATATAATTATTGATCTAGCTGAGTTTATATCAAAATCAAATCATAGATAATGAAGTCCAATATGTAGTCGATTAATAAAAAGCTAAAAAGCTACTTTCCTAAATACAAATTTGTGCATATCTTAGAAGGATTCTTGCAAAAAGATGGTTAAGATTTTAATTTATTATTATTGTAGAATTTTTACAAATATTATATTTGTTCAAAATGAATTCATACGATACTATTTCAAGTTGTAAATCAACTAATTAATAAATTCCTAACTCATATAGATTTGTGTTTAAATGAAGTATTATATATTCAATAATATTATCACATAAGTTTTAGAAAATGTCGCAAGTTTTGGCTTGGAATTCTGATTTACATGCGAATAGCATCCTGTATCGAAATAGTAAATTTTTCTATATTGTCCCATTTTATGTTGCCTAAAAGTGGTTTTATTGTATATATCTATTTAATGAAAATCTTTTGTTTTTTTTACTTGTTACGTTTTATGTCTTGCATAATGAATAACCCTTTACCAAAATTTATATAAATCAGCTCCATATTTGCTTTGCAGTTAAAGTAAAAACTAAAGAATAATTTCCTAATTCATCAATTAATAATCAAGATTATTTCTAATTTTTTTTTCGTTTAATTTGATATTGATATCAGCTTTAAATTATAGATGAATTCTTTTACATGAAAACTGTGAAACGAGGATTTTTCATTACTTTCAATATGATTATCTATCAGGAAAAATTAATTATTTTGAATGTTAAATATTTTCTCATGAACGACAATCTAAAACTACAATTTTAATCCAAAAATGGATAAATCATAATCACTTATTGTTTTAAAGTAACAGTATCTCAAAAACAAAAAAAAAAAGATTCTTTAAATAATGTAACTTAAATGTCTTTTATGTGACGATATTTAGTTGTTTGAAAAATTTTTGACTAAAAAAAAGAAGAAACAATTGATTTTCCACTTCATTTGTGTCAATATTTAATGAAAAGAATATTTTGCACAATATTAATCTGTCTATTTTTCTATAAAAAAGTTTTATTTCTATTTTTCAATTTTACCTCAAAATAAAAAAATCGTTTTTAAATGATTAGTTTTATATAAATGGATTGTTTAAAAAAATTTAAAAGAATTAATAATATTTTTTCAAGGAATATTAAATATGGATCGAATTTAATTTATTATTTTATTTAACATTTGTTAATACTCTTAAATATATTAATCTTTGTCAATAGTATTTAATATGATGTTATGTTATTCTCTATGAAAGAAACAGTATTATTGTGATATTTTATCAGAAATTCTTAATAAAGTATTATCTTTTCTTTCTTCAATCTGAATAATATCGACAATCTCTTCTATATTAATTTCGTTCTATTCTATTCAGAGAAAATTAAGAGAAATATAAATTAAATTTTCTTCATATTATTCATGTTGACTTTTTTGAATTCGACTAATTTTTGATTTACATTGAAATAGTATGGATTAGTAGAAAATTTATGAACAGTAATCATATCTAAAAGTTTGATTGCCTAATATTCATTCCATTTTATAATCTTTTGTTATTCTATAGGATTTCTATTAAATAACTACTTCTATGATCAAAGATGTCTAAGTGTAACTGTTTTACTAAAACTTTGATCTTATTCAAAGAATTGAATCCATTCATAGTTAGTGTTTAATGTGTTTTAGAGATTTTTCTTCTTTGATTGACTAACAAGAATTGTTAAAGTTTGTATAGAATGCTTCATATTTTTTCTATAACAGCCTTTCTATGATGACAAATGTTCTTGTTTTTTTCTTTTTTATTTCTTAGACTCTGCTAATTAAAAAAAAAGAAGTTTTTGTCGAAATTTATTTTCTTAATTTCTTTTTCAAAAATTCTTTGATATGTATTATATGAATTTGTATATTGTAAATAGAAAAACTAATCATGAGCAATGAAAATTTTATAGAATGAAATTGATTTAATTTGCACAAGAATAGTTGCTTAAAATATATTTTCATTTTGATACCTTTTCATTGTGAAAGAATCATCGATTGAATTTCGAAAATATTTGTCATATATTAACTTAAACAAGTTTCTATTCAATAATCAATATGAATCAAATTTAAATCAGTAAGATATTCTTCAAAAAAACACTCAACAGATTTTAATGTTTTCTAGTGCATCTGTTAATATTATTCAATCGAAAATATGTTTTCAATCGTATCTATCAGAGACAATATAGCAAAAATAGAAAGAGTAACTGTGTGAAAGAGAAAATATAATGAAAAAATTTATTTCTTAAAAACTATGAACAGTAAAAATCATTCAATAATTACAAATTATTCTTATCTGAATGTTCGAATGGAGAGACTAACATTTTTATCGAAAGACGACAACTTATTTATCTTATAGGTTACTTGTCAATATTTAGATGTTGGACTAACGTAACTCTTATTCTGACGTTTGATAAAACGGTTATTTTGACTTGAAGGAAAGAGAGAAGAATTTTCTTTTTTAAGTGAGTAGATTTCATGAAGAAAGAGGCAGACATAAATGAATTATTAGTATACACATCAAGATCTGTTATATTCTACGAACTAAACATAATTCTCTTCATTAAAAAGTGTTAATAGATGTTGATGACATCATAGATAAATGTTGGTATCATTTATTTGATAATGCATCATCGAAATCGAGATCAACTTCATTAAATAAGTGTAAAATGAGATTCAATAAATAGAAAGTATCAGAAGAAATATTTAATATTTATTTTGTAAAATTTGGTAAATTCAAGTGTCTGAATTGTTTAATAAATGTTAGAGAGCTTTTATTGATGATATGTAAACACATATGTTGTTAATGATATTTACTTAGGGTTATCCAAAAGTAGTGGCGGAGACCTTTTTTTTTCTTATTTATAAGTGAAAAAAAATTTCTCTTTTTACCAATCGATAGAGCGAAAGATGCTCTATTTTTCTATGCTATTTGATCAATATTCAACTAAGAACATTATAATAAAATCTGGGCAAAACCTTTTTTCGTTGAACTCTAGCTGGTTGTAATAGTGCATAAAATCATCTACACGTGTTTTTTTTTCGCTGTTTTTCCTTTTTTTTCTCGTTCTTTCATCATAATTTTCTTATCTCTTATAATAACTAATCATTCCATACACATTATTCTCATATATATTAATACGTCCGTCGTATTATTTTTGTGTGCACGTGTCGTCTACTTGTTTATATACAAAAAAGATTGAAGGAAATCAAGTTTAAGTCTGATCTTATTTTCTTGTTTCAAATGAGTACAGAAAACTTTCGTTTTTACATCAAAACCCGTACTGCACTTAATATTCAAGCAAGAATTATTCATGATGAATTGTATTCTGTTTATGGTGATCAAGCTCCTTCTCTTAGAACAGTGGAAAGATGGTCCAAGTTATTTCATGATGGTCGAGAAGAACTTGAAGATACAGCACGACCTGGTAGACCTATCACTGAAACAACATCTGAAAACATCGAACAGATTCGTCAGCTTATCGATAATGATCCTTATCTTACAATAGAAGAGTTACAAGAGCAAACTGATTTAAGTTACGGTACGATTCATCGAATCATCACCAATCATTTAAACCTTAG